TGTGGCAGGTGGGGGAGGGGGGAGACTGGTTCTGCCACCACGACAATGCACCTGCTGATGCAACCATCTCAGTGTGCCAGTTTGGGGCAAAAAACCCAGCATGCCTCTCTTGCCTCACCTGACCTCACCTCCATGCAATTCCCTTTTGTTTCCGTGAATGCAGAGGGACATGAAAGGACAGAGATTTGATGATGTAGAAAAGGTGAAGAAAAAAACAAGGGAGGTGCTGTCAACCATCCAAACAGATGAGTTTGAAAAATGTTTCCAAGAACGGAATCGCAAATTTGACAAATGTATTAAGTGTAATGGAGAGTACTTTGAAGGTGATAAGGTTGTTTTGTAAAAAAAACCCCAAAACTTAAATACAAAGCTTTGAAAAAAAACTTCCCATTTGGGGGGGGGTACCCCCTCGTAGACCAGGATGTGAATAGCTTTGCTACCAAGCAGAGTGCTTTGGAAGTGGATTATTGCAGATGTAGTTAAGTTAAACCTTAACACCTTTGATGTGACCTCCCTTTTGGCCCATTTAAAATTTGTTCTAGTTTCTAATATTTTTTCAATTGAAGGTTTCTGTTTTACTTTATTATTGTTATTGGTTTGGGGGTTGTTGTTTTTTTGTATGCTTTTCTGTATATGAAATCCAGGATAGGTAAGCCTGTAGAGACAGTAAATGGATTAATGGTTCCTTTGGGGCTATGGCAGGAGAGCTAATAATAATGAATATAAGACAGAAGAAAATGTTGTAAAATTGATTATAGTGATAATTGTACAGCTCTTTTTAATATGTCTGAACTATTGCATTATATCTGAATTTCATAACAATTATATACCAATAAAACTGCTAATTAAAAAATGGAAAGGGGCTAAATTTTTTGCTTTGAATTATTGACTAATAAAAAATAAACATTTATTTTCATGAAAATTCTTATTATAACACCCTGAAGAGAATCTCAGCCAAAATCCCTAAGGTGTAAAGAATTATTTTGAACACTTAGCTTCCACAATGATAAAATTCTGAAAATTAAAACAAAACAAAACAAAAACTCCAAGATTTCTGCACCTCAAAGCACAGAGGAAATTTCCTATTTCAAAAGTTTGGTAGAAGAGTGCACAGAGCCATTTCCTTGGAAGACTTCTACATGGCTCAATACATTTATAATTTTTATTTTGAAAGATTAAGAAATAATTTCAAATTGTATAGGTGGCATCAAAGCAGACATTAACATGAAAATGGAATGATAATTTTTGCCTGAGTGAGTCATTGCATATGCTGCAATCTTCATAAAAGGAAAGATAAAGATAAATGAGATAAGAAATTAAGAATAACAAACAGACAGATTACTCTTTTTTTAAAAACACCTTAAAAATCACAATTTATCCAATCTTTCTTGTAGGCACACAATGTAAAATATCTCAGGCATCGTTAAGAGTTTTAAAAGGTCTCTGGGTGGCATAAATGATTTGTGCTCCACTCTTAGACCAAAAGCTGGCAGTATGAACCCAGCCAGCAGCACCATGAGACAGAGGCCTGGCTATCTGCTTCCACAGAGATTGCAGCCAAGAGAACTGGATGAAGCTGTTCTGCGTTACAACACACAGAACTGCCGCGAGTCAGAACTGGCTCAAAGACAATGGGTTTAACATTTTTAAAAATAATGACTGTTAACATAATTTATGCTTGCTAGTCTTAGTTCTGATCAATTTACAGAATTATGGTAGATGCTTATTTTAATTTTTTGGCTTTATAAGACAAAGTGCCAGACCATGACCTGAAACACAATCAGATCCATATTTTCCAATAGTAACTCATTGACGTGATATCAAAATTACCAGTCAAAACTTAACAACAATTTAACAGTTATTATGTATCACTCTAAGGGGAGCTGGTGGGTTATACGTTGCCTCAGCCTTTCAAAATGACAGGCAAAAGATGAAGCCTTCTACCCCCATGAAGAGATGCAATCTCAGAAACCCATAGAAACAGTACTATTCGGTCCTACGGAGTTTCAATGAGTTGGAATCAACTCAATGGCACTAGGGTCTTTTTCAGTGCTTCACTCTATGTCATCCATTGTGACTACAAGGTTTTTCATGACCCCAACAATTCAGTTACATAGTTTTGGAAAACTTTTTTTAAAAGCAATATTCGTATTTTCTCCCTCCCATCCAAAAAAAAACAAAACCCATTTTATTAGGAACGAATCCAGACATCCTATCATGCCACAGTTCAATTACAATAAGCAGTATGGTACCATTGCTACAACAACCCATTTCAAAAATTTTTCTCCCTTCTTGAACTCTTTAAGAATGGAAACACTGAGATCTGGAGACATTAGGCAATGTACACAGGACTATATATGTAAGAGGCAGTGAGAATCAAAATGAATTATTTCTCAATTGCCAAATGCCCTTTTATTGCCTGCTATCAAATAACAGGCTCCTTTCAGAACAATCAACCACGGGAGACCAACAGGGCAGCATCTGCCCAAAAACAAAGCTCTAAAGGCAGGAAAGGGCAGGAAAGAAGGATGAATGGAAAAAGAAGCAGAAAGAATGGTGCTGTGTTGAAGAAATTGCAAATGTTATGAAACAAATGGTGTATAAATTGAATGGAAAAGTAAATTTTTCTGTTAACTTTCACCCACTTGTTTCCTTCACTTATCATTCATTTGTTCAAAAATATTTATTAAATGCCATCCATGTATAAGCCATAAAAGAAAAACTTTCAATTTACCAACTCGTGGTCAAGAGCTGGAATATAATTCAAAAATTGCTGGAGAGATGCTAAGGTTCACTACCTCCATTAACTAGGTGTGGTCCGCCTGTAAGAGTGAACCTGAGCTTCCAGGTTAATATGCAGATTACACCTACCACTCCACAATAATTTAAAAGATTACATTTTCTCTCTTACATTTTCCAGTCAGAAATATTTCACTCTTGATTTCCTTTAGTAGTAAACATAAAATATATAATTATTATAAGAGAAAATCCATAGGCTTTGAAACCAGAAATACCTAGGCTAAAATTCTAGTTCCGTCACTCAGCAGTTATTTAAATACTCTGTGAATGTTGGTTTTTCCATCTGTGAAAGGAGATAATAATTCCTGTCTCAGGCTGTTGTGAGAGCTGAATAATATATGCCAAGGAATGTAGCACCTTCATTTTTATAGACTTTAATTTTTCTAATTATGATTCTTTAGAGAGCAAAATAATAATCATTCACAAGGCAATCATTTCCTTTGTGACTTTTTATTGTGAATTGGTGGAAGGTTTACAGAGCACATTGGTTTCCATTCAACAACTCATACACATTTTGTTTCATGCCGCTGATGCAGCCCCCACAATGTAACCTCATGTACTCCCTGTTTCCAGCTCCCTCCTTTCCCAATCCTTTTTGTCATAAAATAATCTTAAAAGAATATCTATTAAAGGCATTTTTTCCTAAAAGAAATAATTTCTGGTTAGGAATAGCTACTGTTAATATTTTACAAAGAACTCTCTCATGAACAACAAAAAGTTTTCCTTACTACATTTCCTAAAAATATCTGGTATTGCTCCCTCCTCTAACCCCACCCCCAGCCCTTGAAGCTTTCCCCTCACTCAAACAAGATACTCATTTAGTATCTGAAAGAATATGTGCAAAATTTAGAGCATTCTCTGTCAGGCAGCAGGAACCTCTGCCTTCTTATTAGCCGAAAGAACCAGGCTCACAAACCCTCTGATTTCCCAAAGTATTTGGGGATGAGCTTTCCATCAGCTATAATTGCCATTTGATGCAGGAACCCAAGGTAGGACCAGGAGGAATCAGATATGCTTTGATTTTCCTGGAAATTCCTTCCGATTGAGACTGAGAAAGCCTAATGCTAGTTTGTTGGGGGAGCCATATTGTTTGCTTCTGAAAAAATGCAGAAGTGAAGCTATAGAGATTATCTTTCCATTGGATATAATGAGATCATTTTCCATGTTATGAGATATTTGACATCTATGTAGTTATAGGATGTTGGCTTTTATGATTCATTTCAAAGCAGCTGTGTCGAATATCATTCATTTACAAAAGAGGAAACTATAGTCTGAATAGATCAAATAAACTTGTCCAAAACTGCCCAGTAATATAGATTGAGAACTCAGGCCTCTCATACTTTAGAATATAAAACAGTTTATTCACTGAGGTAACCTGGCAATAAAATATGCAGGGCAAAAACTCATTAAGGTCCCAATAAGTAGATTTGAGGTTTCCCAAATCCATAGATGACTAAGTCCCTTAGAAAAAATGACATAGTATTTACATAAGAGGGGGCCTCAAAACATTTGTGGGAAAATGGAATTAAAATGTAATGGAGTTATCCCATGAACTATTTGAAGCCCCCTTATATAACCTCCTGTATGTTTTAATATAATCATTAATTACTCATAATACTTAATATAATGTAAACATACTATAAATAACATTTTATACTTCCTCGTAGCATTTTAGTGATTGCTTCCCTCCACCCTTCCCTTATCCCCCTGAAGAATTTTGATCTACAATTAGCTGAATCCACAGATGTGGAACCAATGGAGATGGAAGGCTGACTGTATACATATTTTGTTTATTCTCATTTTACCTAAAGATAGCTTCTATGTGTTTATCGAGAACTGTGGTAATAGATAAAAAACAGTTAACTAGATCAATTTGAGATTTTAAAAACTTATTTATCCGTATTCCTTGTTAGAATTGCCATCTTGATTGACTTTTGTTTCCTGAAATTTCAGAATCTGAAGTTTGAATATGTTAAAAAAAGTTCAATAATAGCATGCTCACATAATCATGAAAAAAACATTAAGATATTTATATGGGCCATTGATGAAGTATCCATACAAAGAAAATACTTTCACAGAGAACTAAAGCCAACAAATTTTTTTACTATAAAATTTTTGAACTATAAAATAGTAGAAAGTGATTTTTAAAGGGAAAATTATAGTATTCATGCAAACAGTGCTATTGTATAAATATTACCTACCTGCTCTTCTGAGAGATATCTTCCAGTCTCTTGGCTAATGTACAGCACTCTTTCCTTAACTTTGTCAAAAATGTATTCTGGGAGGTCATCAATAAATACTGTTCCTTTTCTAGAAATAAAAACAACCCCATCAATATAAGATATTTATGGTTATAATATTGCAATGCTTAGCTATGTAGAGTGGAAAAAGCATGAAGACCACTACACATTTACTATAAGCCACTAGCTTCCTTTAATGTCCTAAATCATACGACCTCTCATCTAGCAAAACACTAAATCTTGTGAAGCATATATTCATAATAATAACACCCTAGAAATATTTTTTTATTATGCAAGGTTGGTGTAACATTAAAAAAACTGTCAGATACTTTAAATGGCATCACAGACATTTTTATAATACACAAGCTATTATATGCATATCTCACAAATTTACTATGCATAGTTTCAAAAGTGATTACAACCACCTAATTTAAACCCCCCGAGATCTCTTCTGCCCTATAATCCATACTTTATGTTTCCTATTTACTCTGATATCTCATCTCCCTGTCTTGCATGTACTTATATAATTATGAAAGTGAGATGTGCAATTTTCCTTAGGCTGAATTCATTGCTAACAGCATGAGTTGCAATGAAAATTCGGGTGAAAAAAATTGGAGAGGGGTGTTTTTTGTAGTCCTAGGTGGTTCTGACTGTTAAACACTCTTATCTACAACATTAAGTGATGCTGCCCACGACTCTTTGATCAATGAGATCCTACGAGCAATTGAGGTCAAACAATAACATATTCTATAATCTCCTCCTTTTCCTTTTAGTGGAGAAACACTAAGTCTGGTGGATTTTCTTTTTTTCTTTTTTGTTCCAGCCAAGGTTCTTAGAAGAAAATCTCCACTGAGTATGCTGGAGGGAATTCTGAGTCAACATGGCTGGGTTAGCAATTTGTAAGTGAATAGACTATTTAATAAACTTTAAGTCAGCAATTTTTCACTTAGAGCATAAGAGGTCATTTTTTCTTCTTTGTTTACTGTGTCATCAAATACAGTACACATTAAATCATGAGGAAATTACCTTTACGTGACAGATTAAACGAAGCCTTTTGCTTCTTTTTAATATTAGATAGGCAAAAAGTGTATAGCATACAAAACAAAATAAATCAAGGCACTAAAATTAGGCAACATTTTCCTGGAAGAGACAGGATCAATAAAACTTTTGTTTTAATAGTACAATCAACTTGGAATATGTGGTGTGGAATTATAATGATTGACACTGTTTTGTTTTGACTAACACTGTCTGTGAATACACAACTCAAAGTGAAAGGAGCTACATAATGCTCCCACGGAACAAACCAAACTGCCTATTTTCAAAGTGCATTTTACTTTCAAATTAAAGGTAAAGAGTTACTGGCCAACTCCGACTGCAGAATCGCGCCAATGTGATGAAAGATGGAAATTTTTAGCCAAGCTGCCAGCTGTGGTCAATGCCTTGTATTAGTGAATTTTAACAGCAGTTGTGAGAACTTGAAGAATGCAAAGGATTAAACATCACTGTAGACTGGGGTGGGGGAGGTGGGAAAATCATACAAATGCTAAAAATGTTCGAAGCTGCAAAGATTAAATAAAGGAACATATCAATTTAGAGCCACTGAATTACATCCAGCTGCGACAGTGAATTAAGAACCGATTAATGGCTAAAGCTTTTCTCCAGTTTGGATGCTGAAGCAAACTCATTAGGCTTTTAGAGTAGCTATAATGTGTGTACTGTGGGAACTGTTCAATGCTATTCAGGAGACTCTAACTGTAAGCTCAGAGCATTTCCCGCAGAGCTTCTGATGCTATTTTCTTTATATAACATGTGTGCCTGAAAACCCAGCCAAAAATAAGCCCTTTGTTTTTCTACTTTGTTGTGGTCTCTCTCAGCTTTACGTTTCTTGAACACAGGTAAATAAACTCATAATCCAGATGGTGCAACAGATGTGAGAGCAGCACTCTGAAATCAACAGACAGTGGGCAATACTTTCCATTTTCTCTTTTAAACGCTAACTAATATGTAATTCGGAATCTCCGGTGTAGTTAGCATCTGCTCCCTTCGGCCAGCCAAAGGTTACAGGTGTTCCTGATGTCATTTCACAGTGAGGCGTGGGCCTGACTTGTGAGCCAGTGCCCAGGCTCTAATCTTTCCCTACCACCTACCAGTTTTGTCATGCTGGGCCTCCATTTGCTGTATCTTCTGTGTCAGCTCCTGCTCTCTTTGCTGGGCCTGAAGGGCTTGGGCCTCTGCTTCATTGGTAAAGCTCTGCTGAATGCTATCTTTTTCCAGCCTACACAAAAGAGAGGAGACATGCAGGAATTTAATCTGCAGGTGAACAACCCTCATCATATCCCCTACAGGCCACAGAGGGCTGAGGGGCAGGCAACTGTGAAGGTGACAACAATCTTTTTTTGAGACCTGCTTTAGAGGGAAATCCAAAAGCCCTTTGCACACAGTGCAAAATTCATGCCCTAAGTTCAATGGACAAAAGTATACACGGCTTAAAAAAATTACAACAAAACGATGCATCTATCTAATAACTTTTATAACAACTTCAAAAACAAGTATCTTTTTTTCTGTAACAGTGTAAACATCTAGTTTGTCACACTTCTCAATCTGTTATCTTCTGAATGGTCAATATTTTTCAAGATTCTAGAATTATAGGAGAAACATGACACAATATATCAAAATGAAGATTTAAAGACTATCTTCCTTTTCCCTCTCACACTGAAAATGAAATCTAAAATGTTTGGTAAGAGACGCTATGACAGGCAAGGAAATGATTCTACAGTACAAAATGCAGGCATACATGATATATCTTTAGACATTAGGCCATGTAATATGAATGTGAAAATGAATATGAAAAATTAATTTCATCAGTTGTAACTTCATTAAGAAGAAATTACTTCATAATAAAATCTTTTTGAGGGTCATATCAAAAGAAATACTGAATTTAAACAAAAAAGTTTCCATAGTCAAGAGGCAGCATCCCATCTCACTGTGACGTAACACCGACCTTCTCCCTTTGGGTCAATATCTAATCCCAGTGACAAAGATAGGGACTTCCTAAGAACCAAAGGAATTCAAAGAACCTCATCTATGACAGCACAGTGGGTACTGACACAGTAAGCACACACATTGAGTGAGTTAGTTTTTTAAGTGATATGAGAGCATCCTTCAATTAACTGACGCAGTTATTTCTAACTCCTAATCTCCTTGTGGGCATTTCTCATTCATGCTGCTTTAGTTTACTGATTGAGATATTTTACCACCTACTCTTTGCCAAATGATTAATAAACAATTCCATAAAGCCATCACTACTTGTATATGTACCGCTGAGGAACTTCAAATTCACTGACTTCTAATTATAAAGCAACATAAGGAAAGGCAGTATTGAAACTGGTCAAGGCATGTAGCAATGTAATATAAAATTTCAGAATGAAAATACACCCATACCTAGCTGCAATGAAATCATCAGGAGGCCATGCTAAATGTTTAGTAGGGTCCCTCTGTTGCTTTTAATAACACCACCTTCCTGGATGTTGTCCAAGGTCTTGCCTCACACTCAGTTCCAAACTAATATATTGCAACAAATGGATAGTCATACTAGGCAACTTTTTGCCTCTCCAGTCACACCACATGTTTTCTGACTGGTGAACATACTGCTACTTCTTCCCTTTGTCTCTCAGCACAGTGTATGGCCTGCTTCACAATCCATCCTAATTCCTCACTATTCTAAATTAACTAGTCTTTCCTCAGTGACCTCAATATATGCTGTGAATATGCAACTTGGGTAGCATTACTCACCTTAGTGGATTATGTCTGCTTCTCTATAACTCTGAAGCTGCTCAGAATTTGGCACAAGGAAATAGACAGTGCATGTCTAATGAAGGTTTAATACCCTTGCCAGAATGAGGAAGACTCAGCGAAGCCCACTAAGTGATGCTGGGGAATCTGCTCAAGTCTTATAAAATGAGGCAAAACTCTTGCAGACATATCAGAAAAGAAGACCGCTCGCTAAAGAGCAGTCTACCAAGGGAGTCTGATTAAAGAAGCAGCCTGTGCCAACTTTAACTGAGAATCAACCTGCAAGTCAAACCCCTAGAGTAAAGAATACACTGAAGCTCCAAGAACAGCCACACTAGGTGGCCATGTAACACACTGTCAAAAACCAATACCCACTTGAGAGTGCAGGAGGAGACAACGAATAATTATACTGAGAAAACAGTCATCAATTGAGATTTATGGATCCCCTATAGAAAGATGCTGTCAATTTTTAGAATGAGTAAATCAAACTCAGATTCACTGCCATTGAGCAGCTTTCATAGTAACCCTATAGGACAGGGCAGAACTGCCCTGGAGGGCTCCCTCATTACTGACACCCCCAATTTACTTCAGGAAAAGAAGTGGTGTCATATTGCAGTTGTTCACAAAGACCCCTCCACCAATAGCTGTGGAGTTACACATCACCTTAAGTTTCTTGAATCCTCCAATTTTCATTCTATTTAAGAAATAACACATTTACTTTTCATTGCTGAAAGCAAGGGCATACAAGAAAAGAAAAGAAAATCGTGGCATATTCTTGCTTTCCTTAATTCTTTTTAGCTCTTTTCCTATCAGGTGGCTCTCTCTTCTTACAGGTTCTTTCTGACTTAATAGACTTTGTATAAAACTTCTGAATGACAGAATAAAAGGGAACCACACAATTGTTTAATTTTACTTTATAATGGAGGAAAGTCAGAGCCATAAAGAATTAGAAATCTCAAAGGTTTCATGGTGAGTAATTTAGAGGCAGAGGTGGGATTCAAAATATCTTCATTTAGGGAAATCCATTTTATAACACTATAGAGGCAATACAACAATGGATTGAGATAATTAATAAAAAGCCACTCAGGTAACCAAGAAACTAAAAAATTCTATTTAGTTCATTATTTATAGTTCATTACATACTTTTCATAACTCTGTTATGTAAGATTATACTATGTACTTTATTATCAAAGAAACAGGACACAGTCCTTCCTCTGAAGAGGTTTGCAGTTTAGTGAGGACTTTAAAATGGCCAAAATAGAATTTAGAAGGTAAAATGCAACCTGTGAAAGGAAGGGGAATAAAATAAAAACTAGGAAGGCATGGACACAATCAAACCAGTTGCCATTGGGTCTGCTGTGACTCCTGGCAATGCCTTGTGTGTCCAAGTAGAACTGCGTTCTCTGGAGTCTTCACTGGCTCCTTTCTCGGCAGTAGATGACCAGGCCTTTCTTCTAATGAGCCTTTGGGTGACGCAAACTTCCAATCTTTCGATGAACAAGCAAGTGAAATTAGCTATTGGCACCAGGTGGAAGGACAACCAAAAAGAAGGTTGATTCGTGCTGGGTAGAAGAACCTTGTGAAGGCTAGCCACACTGACTCAATCCTCCCTTAAAACATGAATGACCTCATTTAAGTGGTTGAATATAAAACTAATTTGCTCTTTAAACTTTGAGTGAAATTATAATATAAAGATTTGTTAAAGACGTCATGTAATTAAACCTTAATTCGTCTTATATGACAGAGTAAAACGAAATGATATAGAAAACCTTAGAAGTCTAAGATATAAAAATGTAGATATTAAAATAAGACGGAAGCCTTTATTTGTAAGTCGTCAAAAATTGAAAACAACACACATGTCAACTACTAATAAATTGTTTTTAATGTGGCATATCCTTTAGTGAAATATTACTCATCAATAAGAAAGAAATGGCTGCTGGTACAACTCAAAAATGAACTTCAAAAGCAGTATGCCAAACTAAGGAAGCTTGAATAAAATGCTGTACTTTCATGGTTACACTTACATGAAATTCTAGAAAGACAAACACTAGAGTGGCATAAAGCCAAACAGTTTTGTCAAGAACTAGAAGTACAGGTAGGGGTTGACTACAAAGAGGCAACAGGGAACCTTTTTGATTGATGAGAATGTTCATGTCATAATAGTGATGTGTACATATGTCAAAACAGACTGAATTGCACAAGGAAAATAGTTAAACTATATTATATTTACATTTACCTGAGTGATGCTGCTTTTTTTGTAAACAGCAAGTGCCCTAGAATAGGAGCTTCCACCTTGTCACTCCAGTCATAACGATCATCTGTAATCGCTGTGTGTGTAGCGCAGTCAATTAAAAAAATAACAAGAGAGAGTTATAAGGAGTGACCAGACATTGGATAGGCCTCAAACATGGCTAAATGCATAGTGCAGGTTAAACAATGGTTTAGTCCCTCCTTGTTTCCTATTATACAGTGTGAATGACAGCATTTTCCAAAAATAGGTCACACTGATATTTAACTTCCTATTTTAAGCTGGGCTGCTAAGGTCAGTAGTTTAAAACCACCAGCCAGCTCTTCAGGAGAAAGATGAGGCTTTCCATTTTTATAAAGAGTTACAGTCTTGAAAATTGACAGGGGCAATTCTATCCTGTCCTATAGGCTCACTATGAGTTTACATCAACCTGATGGCAGCGTTACTTTGTTTTAGTATTTTTAAAGAATGGAATTGAATTAATTTTACATTTCTGATGTCCTAAGTTTCTATATAATATTTTACTTTAAAATGTGTTATCTACTACTGTATCTAATATAAGGATTTAACAAAGTGGCAGGGCAAAAGATCAATTTTTAAAAATCAGCTGAATTCCTCTACGCTAACAAAAAGAATGCCAAGAAGGAAATCAGATAAAGCACCACCACCAATCATCTGTCAGTTTGTCATCTGTAGTGGCCTGCAGGTTGCTATGATGCTGGAAGTTATGCCACCAGTATTTCAAATACCACTAGGGTTGCCGATGGTGCAAAGTCTTCAGTAGATCTTTCAGACAAAGATAAACTAGAAAGGAATAAAGGATCCACTTCCAAGGGACTAACCTGACAACTTTATGATTGGCAGTGGAACACTGTCTGATAGAATGCCAAAAGACGATGTTTAAAGACACTTTAAAGACATAGATGGAACAAAGATTTCAGGACCTTCGTTTGCTGATAAAACATGTCTCAAAATGAGAAGAAACAACTGAAAAGATCCATAAAAATTGGAATGTGAAATGTACCAAGAATAAACCTAGGAAACTTAAAAGTTGTCAAAAATAAAATGGAACATAAAGATTGATATCCTAGACATCAGTGAGTTGAAAGAGACTGCTGCTGACCTTTTGAATCAGACGATCTTATTGTTCATAATTCCAGGAGAAAGAAATTCAATAGGAATGGTGCTGTTTTCATGACGAAAAAAACCCAAAAACATTTCAAGATGTATCTTGG